ACTCAGGAGTTACTCCTGGCCATGCTTGGGGGACCATATGGGATGCTGGGAATCGAACCCGGGTCGGCCGCGTGCAAGGCAAACACCCGACCCACTGTGCTATCACTCCAGCCCCTTAGCAATCATTTTGACCTGATGATTTATTCAAGAATCTTTCACTGGAGAAAAGGAAAACACAGGTTGGGGAGGATTTTCTCCCCAGCTCCAGTAGGGGGCCTTCATGTTTCACCAGTTAGAAGAGGAAAAAAAGAATTGTCACAGTTCTCTTATAAATTCAATCTAGTCCAGTTCAGGCTAAACTCATTAGCCCAGAGTTCAGCACACAGCAGACTTTTAATGTATGATGACTGAATGAATAAATGGACAAAATAAATAACTTGTATGAAACTTTTATTAATCTACTATACCCTGTGGCAAGTTCTGGCTAAGTGTTAAAATTGATTTTTTCTTTTTCTTTTCTTCTTTTTTTTTTTGCTTTTTGGATCACACTCAATGATGCTCAGGGCTTACTCCTGGCTGTGCGGTCAGGAATTACTCCTGGCGGTGCTCAGGGGACCATATGGGATGCCAGGGATTGAACCTGGGTTGGCCTCATTCGAGGCAAATGCCCTACCCGCTGTACTATCTCTCTAGCACCCAAAATTGATTTTTCTCTTGACCATCCCATAAGCAATGATCTTATTTTATATATGAGAAAGCTTTATGTATATCATAATTCACAGAGATGGTGAAAAATCACAGAGGGAGCAAGGAGAATATCATTCGGTTAACCCAGATATATAATTTGATCTGTAATATATCACATGGGCTGGAGCAATAGCACAGCGATAGGGCGTTCGCCTTACAAGCGGCCAACATGGCCGACCCGAGTTTGATTCCTCCGCCCCTCTCGGAGAGCCCGGCAAGCTACCGAGAGTATTCGATATGCCAAACACAGTAACAACGAAGTCTCCAATGGAGACGTTACTGGGCCCGCTCGAGCAAATCGACGATCAACGGGAGGGCCTTTACCTTTTTAATATATCACATAAGACAGAGAAGACAAATACATAAATGATAAAAAAAAAAAGAGGGGGACACATATAACAGTTACCTGGTTATCAGTGTCATCTCAAAAGTCCTACTGTCATGTAAGAGTTGGATATTTGAGAAGCTACAACATTCATAGTTGAAGCTCTAGCCCCCAAGTAGATACAGGATATGGGCTTTGGCGAGGTAACTGGGATTAATGAGGTCATAGCCGTGGTGGTGGTGGTGGGGGGTGTGATAGATGGGGAGTGCCTGAAGTGCTTTCTCTTTCTTCTCTCCCTCCCTTCCCCTCTCCCATGCCTCCTGTGAGGACTCAGGGAGAAAGCAGAAAGAGCTTTTTCCCCAGAAAATGATTTAGCTGGTGCCTGATTCCAACTTCCAGAACTGTGAGAAAATGGTTTCTGACTTAAAAAAAAAATGTTTTTAATTTACTTTTTAAATTTTTATTAAAGGGCCAGGATTTACAAAGTTACTGAGAGTTGAGTTTTTAGGCATACAATAATTTGTTGTTAAACCCATTTTGTCTATGGTATTGTTATGGCAACCAAAGAGACAAAGGCATCTATTTATTCCTTTCAAGCCTAACCCAACCCATATAGTGCCAATCTATTATTATTATTATTATATAATTATTATTATTCGGTTTGGAGGATGCACCTGTAATGTAGAGCTATTTGTGTTCAGGAGTAACCCTTGATGGGATAATGTGTGGTGGTCCTGGGGTCTGAACCAGGGTTGCAAAACAGTGCAGCCACATACACGGCCAGTGCCTCCCTGCCTCTACTCCCTCTCCAGCCCCTCTTTAGTCTTTACTCCAGTGTTTAGTTTTCTCTATTTCTATTACATAATATCCTATTCTGTATGTATCTATCTGTGTATCTGTTGTACGTCACTTGATTTTTACCCTCCATTATGTGTGTAAGGTCAATCCACACTGAGCATGTGTTGTCATACCTTTGTTTTACGTTGTATGGTATTTTCTAGTCTAGCAATATCAGTATCCTTCTATGGTAGGGGGTGGGTTGTCCTGATTGCAGCAATGTGATGCTGCTTGAGACCAGCAGTGCTGGGGACTCCAGTGTCACCCCAGTGCTGGGTGCGGGGAACGAGGGTCCTCCAGAGCTATACCTGGTGTGTCGGGCAGGATGACCATGTGGTGCTGTGGGTTGAACTTGGGATCTAAGCATGGAAAGCATGTACTTCTGACTACCGAGCTATCTTCCTGGCCCCTTGGATGCTAAACTTTTTAAAATTGAGGCATCATGATTTATAAAGTTATTCATGGTTGAGTTTCAGGCATACAATGTTCCAACACCAACCCACCTGTGTCTACTTCTCTCCCACAATGTTCCAAATTTCTCTCCTGCCCCCCAGCCTGCTTCTAGGGCAGAAAATTTTTCTTTTTTTCCTTTTTTCCTTTTAGGCATTGTGGTTTACTTATTTATCTAGTTGGGGGTGTTTTCTTGGATTTTTTTTGTTTGGTTTTGGTTCACACCAGCAGTGCTTGGGACTTACTCCTGGCTCCACACTCAGGTAATAACTCCTTGTGGGACTTGGGGGGTCATATGGGACGCTAGGAATCAAACCCGGGTCAGCTACATGTAAAGCAAGCTCCCTGTTCTCTGTACAATCTTTCCAGCCTCCTGGCACTGTGATCTGCAATACTGTGACTTGATAGGGTTTCGTGCATAACACTTGATCCCTTTTCAGCATCACTTCCTGCCCAGAGTGGCTACCTCCCTCTGCCCATGTTGCGGTGTTTCCCTCTCTGTCTTATCCCCATCAGCCCCTACTCCTCCACCCCCATGGTAAGCTTCCTTTTGAATTCTAATTTTTAAGTTATCAGCTTCTGTTACCTTTAGGCATTTGTTATTCCACTACTATATTTCTTTATATCTTTCCCCCTCCCCCCACTGCTGGTATGAGAGAACATGCTGTGTCTGTCCCTCTTGGGTGCTCCTTTTTATCTTATATCTCTATAGTTCAGTTTACAGTACAGTCTCAATCACTTGAGGAAATAGCATCAATCTGTAAATATGGTGAGTATTTACTACATTCATAATGCTATTCAGAACCCAGAGAACACCTGGTACATAGTGAGTGTTTCTTTGAAGTCTGTGAATGAGCAAGGCTTTGTCCTTAAGTAGTTTACTTTTGATTTTAGTGATTTGCCATCTATATTCAGAAAGATGGATTTATATGACTAGTCCTGGAGGCTGATCAGTGTGTGTGTGTGTGTGTGTGTGTGTGTGTGTGTGTGTGTGTGATATGCATGTGTATGTATGCCAGGAAAGCTTTGTGAAAGATATAGAGCTAGAATTGGACTGTGAGAAATCCATATTAGTTGAACAGGGAAAGAAGGTTTTTACATTCTAGATAGGGCTTGAGATGGGAGTGTCCATTCTGAGAACCAAGATCTGAAAGGTTGGTTGGCCTCACAGAGGCTTTGAAAATCAGATAAACAAATGTTCAACTCAGTTATCTGAAACAGCCAAAGGTTTGTCAAAGTGAATCACTTCTTTAAAATCCTCCTTCCTTCTCTTTTCTGCTGCTTTTCTGGCAATGACCAGGGCTATGTCCATTCTGATTGTGGCTCTTGTATGCTTGGCCACAGCGTTTGCAGGAGATTTTACATCTTTGGTTTAGTGTGTGTGTTAATGGAGTGGGGCATCACACACACGATTGTGGTCTTCATGCACCTTCTGGTCGCAGTATTGACTGGAATCTCCTTGGTACTTATACTTGTTCACCAGCACTTGGCCGAGGTGCTCCCACATCTATTCAGTTGTGGTGCTTGCCAGGAGCCGCACACGTTAGTTCCAGGGCTGTATGCTGTAGATTGCACACTCTGTTGTAATTCCAGATAGCAGAGGTCAGGCAGTGGAGGGAGGGGGGTTTGAACTTCTGGCAGCACACTGGCAAAACAGGCACATTCAATCACGGAGCCATGCCCCGGGTCCGCAAAGCACAGCACTTGGAATTTTCAGGGATAAAGTTAAAGTTAATGTGAATGCATGACTTTTTTTTTAATCCACTAGGAAAGCTTTTGGAAGAAAATTTTCTCGATTTTTAAAACTTCCTCTCATAAATACCATTTTGGGTCCTCTGAATACCACTTGCACATGAACAAATACACATCATCAGTCAAAATGAGAATTCTTTCTTCCATGTGCAACTAGTAAATCACAAGCTGAAATAAGGTTGGTTTGTAGGTTGAAACTACTTACTGGTTGCTAGAGTTCTTTCTTGTCAACTTTGTAGTTAAAAGGAATGTCTCTGCAGTTTTTCCCCCTTCCCCCAGAGTTAAGAACTCTGGCTACTATGCATCCAGCAAAGTAAATGGTCAACAAGTCCCAGAAAAGGAGACCTGTGATGTACCAAATCTACCTGGGGGAAGAGAGGATGACGCACTTACTAGTTGTGCAAAGATCACTGTCCTAAGGCAGGAAGACTGAACTGGGACAGTCCCCCAGGTAAAAATGTGCCCAGAGGACACAGAAGTGTGGAGAGGACGGGAGCGTGAGGAGACACATGCAGATTGACATCTGGTGCAAGAACCCTGAGCAGGAATCCCATTTCATGAATCCCATTTCACCATTCATCAGATTTTCCACGTGTTTCTTTCTTTTGACTCTGCCTTCATGAAGGGAGCCAGCTATGGCCACTGTCCTTTGGGAAAATCTGTGCCTCCAGATACCAATGGGAGGGAGTTCAGTGTTTGTGGGAAAGGGAAGTTTTAGTTCAAGGTCCATGAGGAGGAAGCGAACAAATGAGACACCTGACAAGGCCAAATGCTTATTGGGCCAGAACAAAAGGAAGAAAAATGCAAAATTGGGGTCAATTCTTTAACATAAAAATGCTGGACTTTCAACTTATTCTTCTTGGGCACTTGGTGTAAAGAGCCCGACCTTGCTAGAAAGGCCTGTCGTTACTCTGTCTCCCAGCAGATCAGCAGATAGCCAGTGGGCTCTAGAGAGGAGCAACAGGTCAGAGGAGCCAGGGGTCTTTCTAAAAGTTGCTACCACCTAAACTGGTATCAGAAAGGCACCCGGCCTTGGAACTTGACTTCAGTTGTGTGTTCGTTTGTACTGGCAGGTGCCACCACTTTGGTTCCAGGCAGCCCTAGAGCTCTAGAAGCTGTTTCTGGAGGGTCACTCGGAATCCACTGCGTTGTCAAAGGCATGCTGGGAGTGTCTGCGATTCCTGGACGAGACATAAAAGTACACGAGGAACACCAGACACGTCACGGCCATTACCATGAAGAAGATGAGGATGCCCCAAAAGGCCCGTGGCTCCAGGGGCAGGTGGATCAGGGGACTTTCGGCTGGAATCTGGTTGGTCAGATTGAGCATATAGCCAAGAGACCAGGCTATACTGCTGTTCCCCACCTGTGGAGGAGAGGAAGATGGTTCAGTTTTCTGGGCAGGGCTGGGAGGATGGAATTGCATGCCTGGGCAAACCCCTGTCACCTTCCTGAAACACTCCCAGGAAACTGGGGCCTGAGGAAGTCAAAGGACTTTCCCATATTCAGACACTATCTGCAGGGACTGGGCCAGAAGCCTGCTCACAGGGACCATAAAGGCTCAAAGCTGGAGGGGCCTACTTTCGGCACTGGGGAGCAAAACAGCAGAAGAACTAATCATGCAGAGGGCACAGCTCAAAGTGAGAATGTTTCTACTGTTGGGCTTAAAGTAGGTAGTTTACTGAGCCCAGAATCCATTTCTAAAAGCAGGGGTTAGTCAAAACGGGAAATGGCCTTCTTTCAGTTTTGCAGTTCCATATATTTTTGCTTATGAGTCTTACTGAGTATGACAGTTTCAAATGTGCAATATTCATAATGAATTATTTTTGTGAAGTTATAATCATCTCTATTTGGATGGTATTCTTTATCTTAAAGACTATCTGGTAAGATATGGAAGAGATACATCTGTTTTCTTTTGGGTACTATATCTCTGAAATTAAAACTTTATTTTTTGACTGAAATGATAAATATAGTGGGTAGGATGCTTGCCTTGCACACAGCAGACCCAGGTTCGATCCCCAGCAACCCAAATGGTCCTCTGAGCACTACCAGGGATAATTTCTCAATGTAGAGCCTGGAGTAACCCTTGAGCATTGCCAGTGTGTCCCCAAAACAAAACAAAACAAAACCCAAATAACCTATTTTTGTTTGTTCTCGATGCTCTTAATATTTAAAACCTAAGGGTTATTTTCATAAACTACATACCTTTGCTTGCTCCTTCCTTCTTTCTTTTTTTTTTTTTTTTTGCTTTTTGGGTCACATCCAGTAATGTTCAGGAGTTATACAGTGGGTAGTGCCTCGCATGCACCAGACCCAGGTTTAGTCCCTGGCACTGAAATGGTTCCCACAGTCTCTCCAGGAATGATCCCTGAGCACAGAGCCAGGAGTAGCCCTGAGCACAGCAGGTGTGATTCACTTCCCCCCACCCCCAATAAGAGTGATACAGGTGTGCTTCTTTTTAGATGAGAATTTTAGAGGACTCTTACTTATGTTCCTGTCTCCTATACCCCACCTCCCTGGTAGATATAAGCTACACTAGAAATCTAGGCTATAGGTACTCTTGTTCACTTTTCTTTGGTGCTAATTATCTTTGTTTCACATACATTTAAAGCTTCCACATCATTTATTCTTCTTATATTTTTATGTTTTCTGGAATTTATCGCTCCTTATTTGATGACTTCTAAAAATACTTTCCATAGAAGGCTTTGTATGGCAAACCTTCCGAACTCTCTTTTATGCCCCCCCCCCCCATTTAAGTACTAACTTGGTTGAATACAAAATTCTTTCTTTTCAAATTGAGTTGGGGATACACATCAAACCTAGGACCTTAAACATGTAAGGTGTAACCTTACTAGAGTAGCCACAATCCAGTAAGATCACTTCTAAAAAGTTTCTTATTTACTTTTTTTTTTTAATTTAGCTTTTGGGCCACACTTACTGGTGCTCAGGGATTACTCTTGGCTTTATGTTCAGGAGTCACCCTGGGCAATACCTGGGGGGCCATGTGGTGTTGGGGATTGACCCAAGTCTCCTGTATGCAAATCATGCACTGAACCCAAAGAGCTGTTTCTGGCCCTACCATTGTTATTACTTTTTCTGTTTCAGGGCTACACCCAGCAGTGCTCAGGGAACATTCCAGGCTCTATGCTCACAAATGACCTCTGGCAGTGCCTGGGGCACCATATAAAGGGCCAATGATTCAGACCAGACCAGGGCTGGCAGAACAAAAGGCAAGTGCCTATCCCTCCAGTACAATCTCTCTGGTCTCAGGCCCTACAATTCTTTGTGTATAAATAAAAGGAAGTTGAAACCTAGAATTCAGTATCCATCTAAATTGTTATTCAGTGGAAATTCATTCTCCCTTCTCATAATGTACTCTCTTGCTAACTAGATTCATTAGAAGCAAAACTTAGAGAGAGTATATGCCACCAACAGTCCTGTGTGTCTCCAGACATCCTTATTTTTTGAAGATGACTCAGTTTTATTTATGTAGACAATCACAGGCCTAATGAAGGATATTGATAGATTTAATCTAATTATTGCCAAGGCTAATACTGAACAGACTGACTCCAGAACTCCAGACATACTTCAGACTCCTACCAGCTATTCTTGAGGCAAAAAAACTGGCCCATAACCTGCAAACATATCAGTGAGGTGGAGACCTGCTGGAGGGCATAGTACAGAGGGTGAGCGAGACCCCTGGGAACCCCTAACAACAGCTGTGATTGCCACTCTGGGCCATTCTGGACACTTGATGGGAGATACATGACCTCAGCTTTGTCATTACCAGCAACATCCTGTTTCCTTTTTTGGGGTCACATCTAACCATGTTCAAGGGTTTCCACCTGGTTCTGTGCTCAGGAATCACTCCTGGTGGGGACGCAGGGACCATATATAGTCCTGGGATCAAACCCTGTGTGTTGCAAGGCAAGCGCTTTAACCTCCCTGTCCTATCTCTCCAGTCCCTAGAAAACATTTTTATTTAATGTTACAGTAACTCCTTATTGGACTAAAGTCCATAACTTATTCTGATTTATGTGTACAATGGACAGGAAGTAGGTACTAGCCTCTTAAAAAAATTACTGTTCTATTTGAAGGTTTTTTTCAGGGAATGAAAAATCCCTGCATTTCTATGCTGGGCTGGAGCGACAGCACAGCGGGTAGAGCATTTGCCTTGCACGCGGCTGACTCGGGTTCGATTCCTCTGTCCCTCTCGGAGAGCCTGGCAAGCTCCCCGTAGCATATACAATATGCCAAAAACAGTAATAAGTCTCACAATGGAGACATTACTGGTGCCAGCTTGAGCAAATTGATGAACAACTGGAGGACAGTGCTACAGTGCTACAGTTCTCTCTATCCTAACCAGGTTCTCATGGTGCCCCAAGCTAGAAACAGGAGGCTGATAAGACAGTCCTGCCTTCAGGGCTGGGCTTCTCACACTGTACTTCTGTGAAAGCCACTCCCGAGATCAGTGCCAGAGGCTCAGTACTGCAGTTAAAGCACATCTTATCTCTGTTTCTTTAGCAGACATCCACATAAACCCCTGTTTCAAGAGAAAGAGAAAACTCTCTGAGCTTTTTGACTTACTTCTTTTTTAAAATGGACTTGGCGCCAGGTCTCCTCCGTGAATCTGTATCCGTTCACAAGCAAGTGGTAGATGTAGTGGGCGGAGAAGCAGTAGGAGCGGGCATAATTCTCACTAAACCTGGGGAGCAGCAGTGGAAGCTGAAAAGGAGGTTCCAGATGGATAAGAGGCAGGCTGGACAGGCAGGTTTCAAAGCGTGCATTTTAGAACACCTTAAACTAAAAGTCATATATTTAAAAAAAAATTGTTTTTCTTTTTGGGTCATACCTGGCAATGCACAGGGGTTTCTCCTGGCTCAGGCACTCGGGGGACCGTATGGGATGCTGGGAATCAAACCCGGGACAGCTGGGTACAAGGCAAATGCCCTACCCGCTTTGCTATTGCTCCACCCCCCTTTTTAAAAAATATTTTTATTAGTGAGACATCATGAGGTACAGTTGTAGACTTATAAATTTTTGTGCTTGGGTTTCAATTATACAATGATCAAATACCCATCCCTCCACCAGTGCCCATTTCCCATCACCACGGATCCCAGTATCCCTCCCACCCCCCGTCCTCCCCATCCCACCCTGCCTCTGTGGCAGGGCATTCCCTTTTGTTCTCTCTCTCTTATTGTCCACCCCTCTTTTTAAAAAAAATTTTAAAGAGGAGGCATATCTGGTGGCTCCTGAGGTCACTCCTGGAAGTGCTGGGGATCAAATCTTGGCCTACCACATGCAAAACATGTACTTCAGCCCTCTGAATGATCTCCCCAGTCTAACAGATATTTGAATGGTTGTCAGGGACAGGGCGTTGGCTCCAAGGACAGAGCACATGTTTACATGAGTAACCCCTGAGCACCGCCAGATGTGGCTTGCTCCCCTCAAAAACTGTTACCACCCAGTTTCATAATAAAGAGTACTACATAGTAATACAATTATATAAGACGTTCTTATACAATATCAGTGATAATAATCTTGAAGTGTTGTCTAGAGTGCTTAATGTGTGCCAAATATTGTTTTTTGAAGAAAAACATTGATTTACTTTTAGTGAATTATACTATATGGATTTTAGTTCTGCTTCGTACATTTATATACTTATAAGTCTCCCTGTACCCTCTCCGTGCCCACACCCTGCCTTTTTTTCCACCACACTCTTCACTCCATAGCCGTATTTTTTTTTTTTGCAGAATTTGGGAGTCATTTTTGTTGTGAATTGATTGTTCATTTGCCTTAGTTATTTTCCATATATGGAGAAATATAGCTAGCTGTCTTTCACTTTCTGACTTGATTCTCTTAGCATAATAACCTTAAGTGTTTTTCCTTTTTCTTTTTTGTTCTTGGGTCACACCTTGCAGTGCTCAGGGCTTACTCTGGCTCTGCTCTCAGGGATCACTAGTGCAGGGGCTCAAAGGACCATATGGGCTGCTAGAGTTCAAACTCAGTTTGGTTGTGTTCAAGGTAAGTGATTTACCTACTGTACTATCTCTCCACCCCACCCATAATGACTTCCAGTTGTATTAATGTTGTCACAAAAACAAGATTTATCATCTGTTTGCTTGGCCATACTCAGTGGTGTTCAGGGGCCAATCTAGACGTGTAATACCTTAACTCCTGTTGAATCTCTCCAGCCAGGCTGACCTTTTTATTGGGGGGACTCTCCTGGAAGGGGAGTTTCCTAAGAAGTACTGAGGGACTCCATTGGTGATTATCTACCCACTGGCCTTAGGATGAAATGCTTCTTGAGCCCTGTGATGCATCACCAGGGCCACTCTGGTGGTGCCTGGGGGCCTTCAGGGGCATGCCCAGAAATGCTTTGAGACCACGTGTTGCTTGGAATCAAACTAGGGTTGGGCACAAGTCAGGCATGGGTCCTAACCATTATACTATCTCCTGGCCCTCAGATTCACCTTTGTAAATCTCACTACTATTCCACTGAGTACACACACACAAATTACCTTTCCTGTCATCTGTGGATGGGTGGTTTCCATGTTTGGACTCTTGTGAATAATGTTCCTATGGACATAAGTCTTCAAATTAGTGGTTTTATATATTTGGATAACTAGGAGTGAGAGGGTCGGGTTCTACATTCTGTGGTATTTCTGGTTTTAGTTTTATTTATTTTTGGCCTTTGGGGCCACATCTGGCAGTTCTGAGAGGCTACTCCTGGTTTGATGCTCTGGGGACACTCCTGGCAGTGCTTAGTAGACCATGAAGTGTGTGGGACTTAACCTGGGCTCCAGCTTATTGTGTTACCTCTCTGGGCCTCCGTTTTTTGTTGATGTGGTTTTATTTTCTTTGTTTTCATTTGGTTTTGTTTTGGGGGCCAAATCTGGCAGTATTCAAGGGCTTAGAAGTGACCAAGTTCTTAGAAGTGACCTCTGGGTGTACTCAGGGGACCATATGCAGTGTGAGAGATTTGAACCAGGATCAAGGTCAGAAGGCAAGTGCCTTATCCTCTGTACAATCTCTCCACAGCCCTACTTTTAGTTTTTAAAGAAAGAGCCATACCATTTTCCAATTTACAGTTTATATTCCCACCAATAGTGAATTTCTCCAAACTCCCGGCAGCACTTTTGTTTCTGGTTGTTTGAGATAAGCCATTCTCGCAGGTGTGAGGTGACACGGTTTTGATTTGCATTCCCCAAATGGTAAGTGAAGTTGAACCTTTTATTTCATGGGCTAGGCACTGTTACAACCACTATGAGTTCAGTTAGAACATGAATCTACAATGAGGGTATGATTCAGATCACTTAGTACTCCTCATTTTATTGTTGGCATGAAAATGGGGCATCAGTAAGGCCAAATTCGTGATAAGCACACCTACGCACACAAACAGAATATACTTTATGCTCTTGTTTTATCTTGGAATTGATGGTTTCTTTTTCTTTTCTTTTATTATTTCTTATTTTATTTTTCTTTTTGGGTGACACCTGGCAATGCTCAGGGGTTACTCCTGACTCTGTACTCAGGAATTCCTCCTGGTGGTGCATGGGCGACCATATGGGGTGCTGGGGGTTGAACCTGGGTTGGCTGTGCGCAAAGCAAGCACCATACTTGCTATACATCACTCTGGCTCTGATACTTTCTTGTTAGATACTGACCTGATTCCAGCTATGTGAGCAGAAATTCCAGGTGCTGGAGTTAAAGGTATCCAGAGGAAAGTTATCTGAAAGATTGAGAGCACTGATTGTGTAGTAGAATCCCGCAAAAGCCTGAAAGGAAAAAGCACAGAAGGAAATGAATTCTTGGAATGGAATACAGTATGGACATTTCAGGGTGGGGAATAACAAGAGGGAAGCAGGTTGGAGAAGAAAAACAAAAACGTGAGAAGTAAAAATTTATTCGAGGGGCACAGCGGGTAGGGCGTTTGCCTTGCACACGGCCAACCAGGGTTCGATTCCCAGCATCCCATATGGTCCCCTGAGCACGGCCAGGAGTAATTCCTGAGTGTATGAGCCAGGAGTAACCACTGTGCATTGCCGGTGACCCAAAAACCAAAAAAAAAAAAAAAAATTATTCAATGGGCTGAATAAAGAACTACTGCAGTGGCTTTTTTCTCTTTTCTTTCTTTCTTTTTTTTTTTTTGCTCTTACCATAAATGAGCCTGTCACTTTTGGCTGATAGACCCCATTAAAGGAACAGTTTTCCTGGTCTTGGCAAGATTTGAAGTCAAATAGATGAGCTACTGTGTCCCGACACAGTGATGGGTCCCCAGTGCCTTCAAAAGTGATGATATCATCATGTTTGTAGCCGACAGTCTTCAGGTTCTCTGTGCACGGGCTGTTGAATATGTTCTCCACTGTGAAGTTGGTGTTGTAATTCCGAGGGTAGCAGGGGTTGGTGATACTGGTTTTGGGAGAAGCATTCTGCAGGTACAAGAGTGAGGCGTCAAAAAACACCCTTCTGTAGAGGACCAAGTGTCCACCTATCACAAGATCTCATTATCATTACCCTCCCATGATAAGAAAGAAGGGAAAACATCATTGATACCATTGGTATCGAGGCTCTCTGCATTGTCTATATCTGTGTTTCTTATCTCTGTGGCCCCCTGTCCTACCAGTTGGCCCAATCTTGTCCCATGGCTCCCATTTACACCATTTTTCACGTGTGGCCCTCTTGGGAAAAGGGGATATACAGAAAGGAAATAAGGTCCTAAGGGAGGAGGCATGGTCAGAAAAAAATCAATCTTCCTGAAATTTAAAAATCATCCAGATGCCCACTAACAGTGTTGTATGACTTTTTTGCAGGATTGTAATTTCAGGGATTCCAAAATGGCCCCTCAAGAACAAAAAGGAATAATGTCTGAGCACTGTTAGGTGTTGCTCCAAAAACAAAAATGAAAAAGGTGTACGGACTGCAGCAATAGCACAGCAGGTAGGGCATTTGCCTTGCACACAGCCAACCTAGGTTCAATTCCCAGCATCCCATATGGTCCCCCGAGCACCTCCAGGAGTAATTCCTGAGTGCATGAACCAGGAGTAACTCCTGTGCATTGCCGGGTGTGTCCCAAAAAGCAAAAAAAAAAAAAAAAAAAAGGTGTAACAGTATTTTATTACTGATAATTTTCAAATAAAGTTATTTTGGCTGTGTCTGGACTTCCTACTTTTCTTTGCTGAACATGTGTTATTTTCACATCAGAAGAAAGAAAATCTTACTTTTAAGGAAAAAAAAGTAAGCGCAGGTAAGGAGGATAGCTTCAAAACCTGGAGCAATTGCCTGGCATACAGATTTCGAGTTGATTGCCTGGTACTGCATGGTCCCCTGAGCATCACTGGCTGACACCGGTGGCCCCAGAGCATTGCTGAGCCCCAGTAGCACAAGATAAAATATTTCTGAGAATGGCCCATTGAGCTCCCTGAACACTTCTTGGGAAACCCATTCCCCCAATTCATTGATTCATTAAAATTTAAAAAATGAATGCACAGGCGGCCGCATGGGAGCCTTGTGGAGAGCAGGTATGAGCCGGGGGTGTTGGATCGACTAAAACCTTATGGGAAGGGAGGCGGTCCGGCCCGTCCTTCACGCCCTACCGAGGTTACCAGTTGCCCCCCACAAGCGGCTCTCCGGCACAGCCACGACTCCAGAGCACAGATACCAATCTCTTAATTATCTGACTTTCAGTAGAAATACTTCCAGGGTTAATAAGTAAAATAGCAGAAATCCAAAAGGCCGCACAACATCATTTAATTCTTAAACCCAGCTATAGAAAGCAAATCATTTCACAATTCTTTTTCATCATGTCTGATTTGGGGGGGGGATAAACTCTAAATAATAATGGTGCATCTTTCATCAAAACAATGAATCTAGTCAAAGTAGATAGAGTGTTAACTAGAATTCATCTGCCTCACAGGCATTGGGAGGAGTGGGGGGTGGGGGTTTATTGGGGTTCTTCGTGGTGAAAAATAAGTATTGGTAAAGGGAAATGTGTTTGATATTTGCATGACCAAGACCTAAACCTGAAAGCTTTGTAACTTTTCCCACAGTGATTCAATAAAATAAATAAATTATTAAAAAAATAAATGTACAATCTTAATATCAAACATTCTCTAAGTAAGAATTGAGCCATGGGAAAACCTTATAATAAGCTAAACTGTATAAAATCATGTCCACATCCGTCTGTAGACCCTCAGCTGAGAGAGAAAAAATAAGACATGGACCAGAGGGATTTGCTGAGGCAATGTTCATGGATGAGGTGGGTCTTCTAAGTGGGGACTTGAGAACATATATTTGTCACAGAAATACTACCCAGGCTGCTCTGGACATACATTTGCCTGTGGGAGATCCTCATTAAACCAAGATTCTTCCCTTCACTGAAGCCAGAAAGCCGTCCTTCTCCAGAGAGAAGCTGAAGGAAGGCCCATCCTTTTGAAATGATGGGGTTCTCATACCCCTGCCCCTAGTTCTAAGCTCCTACCTTGAGACTTGCCTCCTCAAACCCAGTGAGACCTAAAATAGGTGGCATCCTCACTTGTCTCTCGCAAGCTACTGAATGTATAATTATTCTTTCATGAGCATTCTAGTGTGTGTGCAGGGGTGTGTGTGGGGGGGGGACATACATATCTTCCTCAGCTCAATCCAGTTGACAAGAGAAAACTCTCTGACGCCCAGAAAAGGATGATTTCCTCTAACCCGTCTCTCTCCTCCCCTGCCAAGATCAGATCAGAGCACTAGAGGGAGGTGCACTAAGCAATGCTGAAAAGAAATGAAGACAGAGAAGATTTTCTGGTGTGTCTCTCCTGGAAAGAAGTGAGTATGTTGGTGGCAAAGCTCCAGTGAGATCTCGGGGGTGAGTGATGTTGAAAGGAGACCTTTCTGGGGAGAACTGGTCTGGTTCCCTGTGGGGTGAGTTTTGGCCAAGAGTGGGTGAGACATGAGCATGGAGTGGACACTGAGCCAGGAGCTAGGGAAGAGCAGAGGAGGGCACTTCTGGGTAGTGCTGAGACTCTCCTGATAGTGGATGTCACTCTCATGTCTGTGAGGCCAAGAGAGAAACCGAGGAGTTGGCTAGGGAGGGGATGGTAGATGCTCCCCACACATCCTGTGACAACTACTTGCTTAATGAGGGGATGTGAGTTGTGGTTTGTGATGACACTTTGGTGGGCCAGCCCACCTTTTGCCACAAGTGGCTGGGTGGGGGATACCCTTCCCTTCCTCAATCACCAAGGTGTGCTAACCTACAGATGCTGATACAGTCCTTTTCCTGTGACCCTGAATCCCAGGATCTGTAGTGTCTGTTGGCCTTCTGCCCCTTCCTCTGGTAATGGCCCTACTCCTCATTTCAGCCTCCCTGACATGATTGATATTGATGACTCCTCCCCGTGGACTATGGGGTGAGGGGAATGTCTAGAGTCTTCCCATGGGACTAGTGCCATCCTGGACACATGCTTCACTTAACCTCAAGGCCATAGAAGTGACAGCCTTTGAGCTGGGGCCTGAAGCAGCAACTATGCGTTAGTCTGTCAATGCATGATTCACTGATCCAATGTAAGGCATGCAGCTGTCCTCAAATCCCACCTTCCACAGGCAGAAAACCTGCCTAATATAGGCCCGTCTCAAAGGAGAGTGGGTATGGGCCAGGGCTTTGCTGCTCCCTGTCAGGAGGCATCTCTCTGGTGACCACTTTTAATAGATGTCTGCACTCAGGGGAGACTCAAAATTCTCAGGTTTATTTAGCTTCTGATTTAATAACAGTTGGAGTCTATAAAGGGAACCCAAGTCTTAAATCATTTTAAAACCAACCAGAGGTTCTACAACATCCCTGAACTTCTGACTCAGATATACTGGAAGCAGGGAAGGGAAGGAAGAGAGAGACAAAGACAGAGAACTGATAGATGTCACATGTTGTTGTTCACACCTTTAATTTTGTGTTTGGGGCCACACCCAGCAAGGCTCAGGGGCTGCCTACTCATGGCGTGGTACTTGAGGGTCACTCCTGGCTGTGCCAGGGACCATGCAGTACAGGGCATACACCCTAAATGCGAAGCGTGTGATCATCCCATTGCGCTAAGTCTCTGACCCTCCATGTCCCTTTGACTTGGAGGACAAAGCATTAATCTCAGGAGAGAAGGCACCTCCCCCTCCGGTAAGCGCTGCCCTCCCCTTCCCCCCAAACGTTTGCTGCCCTGGATGGAGTACCTTAAGCAATATTGCCTGAAATTTCTTCTCAGCCTCATTCCGCCCATAGCACTGGAAACTGTGTGTGTAGAGCTTGTACGTGTATCCGTAGAGAGACACTTGCATGATCCCACTGGTGTTCCGTTCCACATTCTCTCCCACCGCAAAGGATATCTGGGTTGAGGCACCGCCTAAATCCAGGGCTCCTGTGGTCTTCGCTCCGTGGGGATGCACCCACATATTCCACAGGTTCTTCTGCAAAGTGGGAAAACAAAATAAGGCAAAGTCAAAGACACCACTTCAATGCTCTGTCAAGCAAGCCTGCCGGGTTTTTCCAGCGAAGACCCATCTCTTGTTGCTAAGACATATGACACGGGGTGCATGGTGGGCTAGGTGTTTCCTTCATTTTAGGGGTGGCGAGTTCAAGTGTGGACAGAGACAGGACAGGAAACATAAACAGATGAAGCAGATGAGATGTTGACAATCAGGCATAGTGGGCTTGGGACAAACTGGAGAGTTCATGAGGCAGTCTGCTCTGGCCCCATTGTGACCAGAGTGAATCCACTGCAACCGGATCTTCTTATTTGGTGGGGGAGTGTGTGTGAAGCAGTCAGGGGCTGGAGTGATAGTACAGCGGGTAGGGCGTTTGCCTTGCACATGGCCAACCAGGCTGACCCGATTCTTCCGCCCCTCTCGGAGAGCCCAGCAAGCTACCGAGAGTATCTCGCCTGCGCAGCAAAGCCTGGCAAGCTACCCGTGAGACATTCGATATGCCAAACACAGTAACAAGTCTCACAATGTTACTGGGCCCGCTCAAGCAAAGCGATGAACAACGGGAGGACAGTGACAGTGACATATTTGAGGAATAACAAGCCAGCTGGTGGGCAGGATATACTGATGGTGCCCTGAGTTGATGTCTTCTGGTGGTTGTTCTAAGAGTTAGCCTTCCTCCTGCTCACCAGAGAAGCAGCGAGTGTGGGAGTTGGAGTCGGGGAGACTGAGGCAACAAAAGCCTGGGAGCAGACTGCCTGAAGTCTGTACCTGTCTGACGACTGTGGAACTTCTTGAAAGGATCCATCTCCAGCTGCCCTTTGAAAGACCCCTCACAGGCGCTGGATTTAGACCTCCTTCCCTCCAGTTTCTGACAAGCCCAGAAGGGGATGCTGTCTTCCCTCTACCATGCATTTGATCTGACTTTTGATCCATGTTTTCATCCCAGCCCCACATGACTTCCCCAGCCATGTCTTGCTGGTGTTTCCTTACCACATTCCATGATAGAGTGACTCAGGAGAGATGGTCCTGTTTAAGCACCTTGGCCAAAGCGTCCCCTCCCAGATGAGGGGATATACAGCAAGATATGAAAAAGTAACAAACAAACGAACAGGCATTTGTTTTCACACACCTCCAGGAAATTTCCCATTAAGTAGTTGGCTGTAATCCATCCATAGATCCCTTCGTCTTGCCCAGAAATGATCTGAGCACCTCTGAAATCAAAGGGCTGGGAGTTGAAGTAGTTTTCGATGCTTGTCAGGACTTCATTGGCTGCAGATTCATTTTGCAACCTAGGCAAGGCACAGAACACAGAAGGCTGAATGTTTAGTGATCAGTCTCAACCTTACCTCCCTCACTTGAGATACAAACATCCGCACTTCCCTGCCAGCAGGGATGATTTCTCGGATGTGTGATGTATGGTCATCCCTTTTCCAAGGGGAAGTCCCCCAGGCAACTGTGACATCAGGTACACTGTTACCTGTGAAACTGTCCAGCGGGAAAACATCTTGCAGTAAAAATAGTACTTTTTCTCTTCTCCCTACCAGTTTCTGTCCAACTCTACAGCATCCTGTTAATCAAGAATCTCTTGTCTAATCACAATTGTTGTCTCTGATTAGCAGAGGAAAGGTGAAGGCGTAGGATTGGCATGGGCAAGGGGGACAGATCTGGAACCAGGTATTGCATGTGGGAGGCCTGAAGTTCTCTCCCTGGTATGACATGCTCCTCAACCTACAGCATCACTATATGTGGTCCTGATGACAGTCAAGTACCAGCTGTGTCCAGTCAGGTTGATCACATACAACTGGGAGTGGTGCTGGGCATGCCGCAAACAACCCTCCACTGCCTCAAAGATAGGTAATTTTTTTTAAGGGATGTTTATTTTATTTTATTTTTTTATTATTTTTTTTTTTTGCTTTTTGGGTCACACCCGGCGATACTCAGGCGTTACTCCTGGCTCATGCACTCAGGAATTACTCCTGGCAGTGCTCGGGGGACCATATGGGATGCTGGGAATCGAACCTGGGTTGGCCATGTTGGCTGCGTGCAAGGCAAACGCCCTGCCCGCTGTGCTATCGCTCCAGCCCCCAAAGATAGGTAATTTCTTGAGAGAAACAACTGTAGGAGTCTTCATCGGACCAGAGTGAAGGGGAGCTTAGTGGGAAGCTCTGTGAGAGGGCTTCTTCCATAGAGGATGTCAGGGCTCTTGGGGCTGTCCATGGACAGGTCCTATGTGCTGGCCCCTGAAGGAGTGGTGAGGGAATGAGCCTCCTCCCACTGCAGGTCACTCTGGTGTCATGTGGGAGATTACTTCCTTCTTCATCAGGGGATTAGGAATCTTGGCAACAATTCAGTTGGGGTTCAGGAAAAAGAAAGGTCACTGCTATAAGTTGCACTTCATTCTAATTCAGTAGCACATTCTTACAGTTGGAAAACAATCCAGAGTTTTCCTAGTGCGATCAGTTACCATCGCATAAAAAAAAAAGCTGGCCTTTTTAGCAATTAAAATGCTAGCTAATTCCTCCAAAGAAATGAATCACTACTAGAAACCATCTTACAAGGAGGAGTTAATATTTACTGTATTTAAATAGGATGTGGTTTCATTATCCACGGTTTTAGTCATGGGTTGTACATCACAGAGCCTTTTCAGTATTTCTCACTGAGAGCGCTAGGAGTCAAGAAGCAACGAACAAAATTCTTGAAGAAAGAAATGGCAGAAGGAGGAGAAATTTCTGTGTTGTTTCTATTTCAAATAGACGCAATAATTTTGAAACACATTGTAGATTCTAAGTGTGAACAAAGAAATATAACCTGTGCATATGACCTGGTCAATCAGGACTTTAGAAAGAGAAGCAAAAATAGAAAAGAAGGGGCTGGAGCGACAGTACAGACGGAAGTTAAGGCTCTTGCCCTGCACAGGACTGACCTAGGTTTGATCCCCAGCACCTCATATAGTCCCTTGCATCATACCTGAAGTGATCCTTGAACACAGTTGGATATGTATACCCCCCTCCCGCCAAAAGACAGTAGGACAGAAAACAACAAGGAAAAAGTCCTGATCACAGTTGACTGTGTTTCATGTTTTTTTTTCCCCATTTCATTTTTTGTGATCCCAGGGATTGAACTCTGCACTTCACGCATGCAAGGTAAGTACTCCATTACCTCATGATGTCTCTTGCCGATGGTGTTAAAGAGGTTCTGTTTGTTGTTTTACATGTTCTTCATGCCCACATGCTTTCCTGTTATTGCACTCTTGGACAAAGTGTTTTTGAGGCAGAATGTTGGCTTTTGAGGATGAAGCCTTATTGTCAAAGGTTTTGTTCTGGGGCCATATCTGGAAGTACTCAGGACTTATTTCTGGCTCTGTGCTAAGGGACCACCCCTGGTGGGTATCAGGGGACCATATGGGATGTCCAGGATCAAACCTGGGTCAGCCATGTGCAAGGTTAAGTGCCCTGCCCGTTATTGCCAAAACTTGGAGCAGCTTCCATCCTGGATAAATTTAAATTTTTATTTTTATTTTTCAATCCTTTCAAGGCCAAGGAAATACTGTAATGGAGTAAAGATGAAGAGAAGAGGGAATTAAAAACATGCTAGTAGGCTAGAAGTTGTGGCTACAAATTCAGAAGGAACTACTTAACTGAAGTAAATGAGAGATTGGTTTCCCAATAACTAGAGGGGTTTGCTGGCTATCTGAGGGGGAGGTGCAGATTGTCTATTATTTTAAGACAGATTTCAGGGGCCATTGTACATGGGTAAAAGTTACATTGCTAGGTGTTTCTCTCAGAGAAGTTAGTGTTGTACAGATACCCAAAAGTTTGTAGGAACCAGAAAGACAGCTCAACAGCTGGGTTCATGCAGGAGGCCTGAGTTTGACCCCCAGCACTGCATAGTCTGGGCAGAAGTAACTTCAAAGAACAGAGTCAGGGATAGCCCCTGAGCACCACTCTGCATGACCCCCAAATCAAAATAAAATAAAAGTTTCTATTTTGCTTATTATTTTAAATTAATTAATGTTTAAATTAATTTATAATTAATTTTTATATTGGACACACCTGGTCATGCTCAGGATTTACTCGGGATCTATGCTCAGGGATCACTCCTGGCAGGTTCTGGGTGCCATTTAAACTGCCAGGGACTCAGAGGGGGGCGGGTGAGAGCTCTCCCTGCCCAAAGGGACCCAGTCCCTGCAACCAAAAACCTCCACAACTCAACCACCACCAAGCTCAAGGCTGCTCCACACACGCTCGCGCCTAGCCTCACATGTTAGTGAACATATTCCTGGACCACAGTGGCTGCTTTTGTGGCTGCATGACACATCATAAGACACTCCCTATCCATTCTTCATAATTACCACACCATATTTGAAGGGTTCAGACAGTAGGCAACAAATCATAGAGGGAAATATATATTGCATATATGCATATTTTCAGATTTGTATATACCAAAGCTCACATCACCCACACTTTAACAACATGTTAGTGATATCCTATAGAATGTCTTAATGGCTCCTGCCAAAATAGAATAATCTTCACACTGTTTCCTATATGGACACTTTTTTTGTAAGCATGTTCAGCAGTTCTTTATAACAGACACTACAAAATATATTATTTTGATTGCGTTTGGGGACAGGGATTGGGGCTTGGGATGGAAACATCCCAAATTTGGTGATGAGAAGGTGTAATGGTGGTAGTATTGGTGTTTGAATATTAAATGTAATCAAATATTGTGAACTAACTTATCAAATAAAAACAATTTAAAAAAATAAACAAAAATAAACTGCCAGGGACTGAACCTGGGTTGCTGCATACAACCAGCAGTAAGTGCCCTACCCACTGTACTGTCTCTCCGATCCACACAAAAATGTTTCTACTTTACTGAAAACAAAACAAAACCAAACCCCACCAAAAACTAGTTACACTCCATGAATAGATCTCACGTTATCTTCATCTTTTTTTTTTCTCCCACAGCATTCTCAGTAAGATCACCAAGGGAACAGAAATCAATTTTTAGAACTGTTTCTGGGTATTAAAATAAAGCCCCAAAAGTTTCCCAGCTTTTAAAGCCTTAAACTTAGGTCAAAATATGGGCTTCTTTCTTTTGAATTTGTTCCCAGAAATAGATGCGTCCTTGGCTAGGTTCAACACATTCTTGGCTATTTTGGTGTGGTGTGTTCATCTGAGTCACCACAGCCCTTACCTGAGCAAACGCATCCCGGCCGTGGCCCCCAGGTAAATGCGGGTGGATTTGTGGAGTTTCTCTGGAATCTGAGCCTTGACTTGCTGCATACAATTTTCAAAAGCTTTGGGGGCCTCTTGGGGACGATTTCCATAGCTGGAGATCCCGGAGCCTGGAATACAATCCATCAGAACTTCTTAGCATTCCCAGGAACCAACAAGGGCAAAAAACTTTTACATATAGGACAGACAGGTCAGGTTCAAAAATGAAGAGGGTTTTAAATTAATTAATTTTATATTGGACACACCTGGTCATGCTCAGGATTGACTCAAGATCTATGCTCAGGGATCACTCCTAGCAGGTTCTGGGTGCGATTTAAACTGCCAGGGACTTTGAAGGGGGCAGGTGAGAGACTTCCTTGCCCCAAGGGACCCAGTCCCCACAGTCCAAAACCTCCACAACCCAATCGCCGCCACACTCAAGGCTGCTCCACACAGGGTGTTGCAGTAAGTGGAGATGCTAAGGCCCTGATAATTCCTCAAATCGGAAAGAAAGGAATTACAGAAGTTAGGAAAAAATAAGTAGGACTTGACTCCCCCCCACACCCACTTCTCTTTTAGGGAGGTTCAAGGTGAGCTCAGGAAGTCCAGAGATCACTCCTTTAACATGGTCTCTGCACTCTCTCCCTGGCACTCCCAGGCCTTGTATTTTCTCAGGGCTGGAGAGACCAACAGGCTAAGCACATGCTTTTCATGTGGGAGGCTGGGATTAATCCCCAGCATAGATGGACCCTTGAACGTGGAGTTGGGAGCAGCTTCTAAGCATCACTGGCTGTAGCCCTAACTTTTTTTAAGTTTTAATTATGTAAATTTCTAATTATAAATAAAGATAGGGAGAACAGTATCCTGAACCCCATATCTAGCTCTCAGCTCCCAATAGTGATCAAGTCTTGCTTCATCTATGTTCTCCCCAGTTCTCACTCTACCCAACAAACTTCAAAGGATTATTTCACTTGGTGAATATTTTACTACTTCTCACTAAAAGACAAGAATGGCTTAAGAAGCATAATCGTAGCCTGATTACTATACTTATAAAATTTAAAATAACATGTAGAATAATAAAAATGTAATTCGGGTTCACATTTCATTCATGTTCATATTTTATCCCCCCACCCCACCCCTGTCAGAACCAGGGCTCAAATTATATCCACTGTTTAATTGATATCCCATAAGCCTCTTTAGAGTTGATAGCTCTTTTGAAAAATTAATTATTAAAATTACTATAGTTAATTTGGACCGAGAGATAATACAGCAGGCAGGATGCTTGTGTTACATGTGGTTGACAGGAATTTGATCCCCAGAACCCCTACCAAGCGTGATCCCTGATCATGGCTGGAATGGAATGGAAAAAAAAACAAAAAAAAAACAAAAAAAAAGTAGTTAAGGTCTGTAGCACTGTAGCACTGTCCTCCAGTTGTTCATCGATTTGCTCGGGCAGGCCCAGTGACGTCTCCATTGTGAGACTTGTTGTTGTTGTGCTTGGCATAACGAATACATCACAGGGAGCTTGCCAGGCTTTGCCGTGCAGGCGAGATACTCTTGGTAGCTTTCCAGACTCTCCGAGAGGGGCGGAGGAATCGAACTCAAGTTGGCCCTGTCGGTTGTGTGCAAGGCAAACGCCCTACCACTGTGATATATTTATGTTCTTAAAAATATTTAAAAAATTAAGTCACTGTGCTTTGCAAAGTTGTTCATAACTGAGTTTCAGGCATACACAAAGTCAATTTTATTATGGTCACACCTCACCCAGTGTCCACCATTGTCATCATATCACATCAAGGCGGTCACACTCCAATCCCACCCAGCCCTCTCCACAGTACTTGGTCATCTCAGTTTGTCATCCAAGGCTAGGGGTTTGTCATTGTTGGATACTGTCTATGACCTTGTTTTGTTTCTCTCTACACCCCTGCTGAGTAAGATCATCTGGTATTTGTCCTTCTCCAAGAGTTGATGTGTTTTAAGTTTTGAATGATAAAAAGCAAACTCAGATTGTCTTCAGACACAGAGGCAATACATCTGTGAAGAACACAGGATAGTTTCTGAAAGTTTTGGGGAGCTGGTCATTAACAGTGAGCTGGGCAGTGCTGTTTCCCCCATTCACAGTCCTGGTCTCTGACGCTGTGGGGGAAGTCTCCTTGCACATACATCTATTTCCTGCTAGGTCTCTTTTAGTCTGTAGATTCTGCCTTCCCTTTCCATTTTCCTCTCGTAATTAAAATAACATTCTTTGCTATTTGATTTGCCCTGTAGAGTTTTCCACCACCTAGATAGAATTTGCTGATTGTCTCCTCAAGGTTCATTTGACCTGTTACCCTGTTTTTCCAATCCAATGGTAACTGCACGGAAAGCCTTAAATCAGACTCAGCACCTTTCCCAGAATACTTTAGTGTGCACTGCTGCCTGACAGGAGGTGCCAAAGTCTGCTTGTCTCTTTCTGTGCTGGTAACAGACATAAATGACCATTGCTAAGCTCCATTAGTCCATTACAGGATGCAAAATGGTGATGCTTTATTTCCCTAATTCATGCTTCACTTACCGAAAATGCTTTTATAGAAGAGGAATGTCCCCATCATTAACTCTTGGTTACCACCCAGTAGCTTACACAGCAAAGGCAGGATAAGCCCTTCCCCTTACAAGCTTACAAAAATAAAGATGGCATCTCCAGACCACCTTCATTTCACCAATGATGAATTTTATTTCTTTTGTTTTTAGGACCACATAAATGTATTTTATTTTAAGGGGTTTTGAGCCATAGCTGCCAGTTCTCAGGATTTTCTTCTGTTTCTGTGTTTAGGGATCACTAAGGGATTACTTGGGGGGCAGATGTGGTGCTGGCGATTGAATCCAGGTCAGCTGTGTATGGATCACATATCTTATTCAAAAGATATATTTAATGTATTTCTATATCTTGCAGTTGTTACTGATGGGTTAATCTTTGACTCACAGTGCTGTCTGGTTTGTCCCCTTCTTCCTCCTGAAGTGGTTAGGATTCTAGAAATCTTTGCTTTTTTTGCTGTTGGCTTCGATGACATGGAAGAAGGGTGGTGCATTTCCTACCCAGATAAGGAATCAGTCACTTTTTCAAGGAGTCCTGGTTTCTTTATTGAGTAATGGTATTGAGTAAAAAAAGCACAGAACTTATTTCAATGCTTTTCAGAGGCTAGACAGAGAAAGAGCTCTAAAAATAAAATATATCATGCATCCTAATTAGAACTACTAATTTAAAACTACCAGTTTGTGCTGGAAACATAGATCAATGGGCTGAGTACATCCTCTGCATGGAGGAGCCTTGCATCCAACCCCCAGTACTGCATGGTCTGCTTATCACTGCCAGGAGAAATCCCTGAGCACCAAACTGTAGCTTTTAACATAACTGATTTGATCTTCTATCTTTATCTTCTTTTTCTTATGCTAAAATTACTGTTTCCCAGAAACTCCAACTTTATAATTCATCTATTTTATTTCACAAACCATCACAATCCATGACAGTGCCAACACTACTATTATTTAGATGATTATCATATGATTTTTTTTGTCACACTCAGCTGTTCTTGGGGCCACCCCTGGAAATACCTGGGAAACCATTCGTGGTGCTGGGAAACAAAATGGGCTTGACTGCATGCAAGGCAAGCACCTTACCCTCGTACCATCTCTCTAGTGCCAAGATACCTTTTTTTAGTTCTTTTTTTAATGAGTGTGGTAGCTTCATCTCACGAGCTCAGAACTGAAGGAGTTGGCAAAAACCTCTAATGGTAGTAACTGTTATATGTGCACACACGTCTTTTTGTTATATACATGTGTATATATGTATATTATATAAACATACATTTTAATGCATAAAATGTAAATACAACTTAATGATGACAAAGAATTTTTGAGTACATGAAAACAGGAACCTTATCACTTTTGGAGGATGGGATTAGAGATGGGATTACTACTGATTTATATATCCTGACATTTTCATTTTCATTCTATGAAATATATTGAAATATATTTTATTATTCCAGTTGTGATGATATATTGTTGGAATATAGTCACAATATATTATGATGTTATTTATTATTATTATTATAATTCTACATTAGGGCTGGAGCGATAGCACAGTGGGTAGGGCGTTCGCCTTACAAGCGGCCAACATGGCCAACCCAAGTTCGATTCCTCCGCCCCTCTCGGAGAGCCCGGCAAGCTACCGAGAGTATCTTCCCCGCAGGGCAGAGCCTGGCAAGTTACCCATGAGGTATTTGATATGCCAAACACAGTAACGAGTCTCACGATGGAGACGTTACTGTGCCCGCTCAAGCAAATAGATGAACAATGGGAGGACCGTGACCGTGACTGTGAATTCTACATTTATTATTACAGTATGGTATGTGCTAAAAAGCTATATGCTGAAACACTCCTTCCAGTAGCATCAAATGAGACTGTGTGCACAGGTGCATAAGGAGCCTGGGAGTCAGCATTAATGAAACTGAAGGTTGCCATCCTGGACTGAGATGGCACAGAAATAAAAGCCTTGTGTTGACAGGACCAGCTCTAGACAAGTGTGGCCAGAGGGCACTTTTCTTTTCTTTCTTCTTCTTTTTTTTTCTTTTTGCGATTTTTATATATCTTATTTTCATAAAGTAGTTTACAATTCAGGGTTAGGGAAATGAGATCCATTTATTACTGGATTTGGCATATCAATTTGGTCTATTTGGCATAGACCACGGATAGCTTGCCAGGCTCTGCCGTGCGGTAAGGATATTTAAGGTACCCTGAAAACTAGAGAAAAGTAAACAACGTGGCTTGGCACGTGCCTCAGGCAACCACAAGCGAACATCCGAACTGGCAAAACAGTGCAGAGAAGCCATCAAGGATGACCTCAAAAACAGGAGAGCAGCAGTACTGGTAGATGCAGCAGAAGCTGGGAAAAACATTCGTAATGCCCGCCTGTCCTTCACCAACTACAAAACCAAGATGACTGCCCTCCGACATCATGATGGATCTATCACATCTTCCAGAAGGGCAATGGAGTAGATTATTCATGACTTCTACTCAGATCTCTTTAATAGCCACATCCACTTGCCCACATACCACATACCACATGATGGATATGTCATTCCCAATGTTCTCC